ATTCAATAAATATGAAGAATTAAGTAAGAACTGGGGGGATTTAGCTCAGTGGTTCTGGCACCTGCCTCACAAGCGCAAGGTTCTGAGTTTGATCCCTGGAAAAAAAAAAAAAAAAAAATTAAGTAAGAGAAATTGTGGCCAAGGCTGTTACTTTAGGACTTTGTATCATTCTCAGAGTCACTTCTCAAAAAATAAAATTTATCCTGCAGTGTCTGCATCTTCGCCAAGTATCTGTAATATAATGTGGTCACATAAAAAAAGAAGTCTGGTTTCAACTGATCACAAGTTCTTCAAGGTAACTTGAAATAAACATGAGTATTTTTGTTCTTATTTGTCTGAATAAGACAACTCTGCCCTCAGGTTACTTACATTCTACCTCAGGCAATAAATAATATACCCAAATAAAACATACTGCAAATGAGACAGTTATCACTGTGAGAAGGGAAAAAATAAAGCACAAAAGGAGGATACTACATGTTGTAAAAATATTTTCAATGGGAATAGAATTCCAGATGGACTTTTTTCACTCTATTGGGGGCTAGCAAACACTTCCTATGAGTGGAGAAATAGTAAATATGTTAGGCTTTGCAGACCTTGTGGTCTGTATCACAGCCACAGTGGTACCTTGGTTCACAAACTTAATTCATTCCACGATTCTAAAATGATGGCCATGTTCATGTTCATGTGGGAAAGACGGCCATGGTTATGTTCATTACCTGACTCAGAACAAACAAATACAAGCAAATACAAAAACAATACAAAATTCTGCCATACATTTCTTTTACAAATCAAATTGTTTGCAAACAAGAGTTCTTGAATCGAGGTACCACTGTACTTAACGCTACCCTTGTGGTGTGGCAGCAGCCATAGGGAATGCATAAATAGATAAGTGTGGCTGTGTTCCACTAAAACCTTGTTCACAAAAACAACTAGTAGACTGGTTTGGGGCCCATAGGGCCATAGCTTGCTGACCTCTGAGTTACATTGAAGACACCATTCCACTATTTCTTATTTACATTGTTATCACAGAGAAGTCAGCTGTAAGTCTAACTAAAATTCCTATGATGTAATTTGCCTTTTCTTTTTGACTGATTTTTAAAAATCTTTCTGTTTTTTTGGTTTTTTTTTTTTTTTTTGCAACAATTTTACTTTGGGAAATCTACTTGTAGATATCATTTTACATATCCTACTTGGAATTCACTGGACTTCTTGGATCTGTGAATTCATCTCTTTAATCAGGTCTGGAAAACTGTAAGCCAATATCTCTTGAAGTATTGTCTCTGTCTTATGTTCTCTCCTCTCTAGGATTCCAATTAGATATATGTTAGATCTTTTCATGCTATTATTCATGCCTCTTATCCTTTCTTCTGTATTTCCTTCCCTTTTGCTTCTCTTGGCTATATTCTGGATAACTTCTTCTGACCTATCTTCCAGTTCATTGATTCTCTCTTTGACTGTGTACAATCTTTGGTCAAATATATTTATATAATTTTTCCTTTGTTAGTATATTT